AGGGTGGGAGGAAGGTCGAGGTACATTTCAACATTTCATGTGAGTCATCGAGATGTGTGTTGTTCTTGAAGTATTGTGGCTGCTCTGCCCTCCATCAAACATTGCTTGGATCATGAGGCTAAGAGTGTGGTACTGATGAGTCACCTGGGACGCCCTGATGGTAGAATAGAAGGAAAGTACTCCTTAGCCCCTGTTGCTGATGAACTGAAGAAACTGTTAAACAAGTATGTAATTCATATTTACAGCATGCTAATTTATGATTATTATTAATCATTAAAATGAATTTGAGTCTGAGTCATGAACACAGAACAAAAAACTTCACAATTGCAGTTGTAAAGGTATCTGCAGGTGATACCCCAGTATACTGAAATAATAGATAGAAACTCTGACAAGCCAAAACATTACAGCCACAGGCTAAACTATATTTATATTAACAATGAAATATTAAAAGATATGTATATAAAAGTATTTTTAAAATGTGTAGATGATAAAAGTTTAAATAAATGATAAAGCTAGGAATTTTTACAATCTATAAGCTAAACAGTTGTGATAAAACTCTTCTTGCAACTTTCAGTCTTTCAAGGGGGGGGGGTGAACAAACTTGTGCAAATTCCTAAGCAAGGCAAATGTTGCGAGCTGGGAGAAGCTTGTGGAGCTCATGCTGTGGGTCAGCAGTAACAATCTGAGTGTTATTGCTCCTCTCCTTTCAAAAAGAGTAGATTGACCTAAGGATTGAATGTATACATTAGTGACATAAGACTCATTAGGTTACATGGCTACAGTCTTTACTAACTTCTCCATGTGTACCTCCCACTTAATGTCACAAGTGAAACTTTGACACTGATCACTGTCTGAAACAGATTTGAAGTCTATGATAATATTGTCAGTATCAGATTTAGTGCAGTGCTTTCAATAAGATTTGAAATAGGTGGCTACCTCGATACAGCACCCACCGGAGAGCAACTTGAGTGCGACTTGAGCGTGGTGACTGCAACTTGAGTGTGGTGAAATATACCGAGTGACTCACAACAGAATACCTGCCGGAGCTCCAGTGGGTGCCAGGTCTTATTGAAAGCACTGTAGAGGTGGTATTATAATACTTATGATTATTATCAGAAGCTTATAACCCTCTTCTAGGTCATAACCTTACATAAAAGCAGTGGTATCCTTCATATAAGATTGTTGTTGTTGTTTATCTTATTACCTTAAGGCATGTACTAAAACCAGGAACACCGGAACACCCCGGAACACAGGAACACCCCAGAACACCGGAACAACAACAACATTTATTTATACCACAAAGAAATAAGATAAGAAACATTAAGAAACTATATATTTAGTGCCTGCTTCTAGCTTCTAAGCGCTTTACTGTTATGTGGGTAAACAAATTACATCTACATTTTATTTTTTTACACTCTCAAATTCAGTGTTCTGGGGGTGTTCCGGTGTTCCAGTGTTCCTATGTTCCTATGTTCCTGGTTTTAGTACATGCCTTACCTTACTATCTTATTACACCATGCATGGGTACCAAAACCTGACACCATACTTCAATTCCACCGTAATAACAAGCACAAAGGTAGTTAGGATCCAAGACTTAAATAAGGCAAAATAATATTGCACCTTCCACACTTACAAGGGAAATGGATGTCAAAGCACATGGTACTAATTAATGCACATCATTAGCTAACACAAGTTACGTGATATAAAGTGATTGCGTGACACAGGAACATTATAAGTATGTTATTACACCATGTATTGCTGCCATGTTCACTTTTTCTCCTTATTACCTTATTACACCATGTGTTGCTACCACGTGCATTTTTTCTCCCTATTACCCTATAACCTTATTACACTCAGTCTGTGTATTGCTACCACATACAATTTTTTACCCCTTGTTACCTTACTACACCCTGTATTGCTACCACATCATTTTTTTATTCCTTATTACCTTATTACACCATGTAAATGCTGGCATGAGCATTTTTCGCTGTTTTAACCTGCAATAAACTGGAAAATGGAAATCAATGATCCTAAGATAGGCAGCACATGTATAATTATATTGGGTAATATTCGTGAAGAAAACAAGGTAATACTATAATTAACTGGGAAATTTGGTAATGAACATAGATATTATTGGTATTTGTTTAGAGATGTGATGTTTCTGTCAGACTGTGTGGGGCCAACAGTGGAAAAAGCTTGCAAAAACCCTAGTCCTGGTATTAATTGACTTTCTTTTTACTTTTGATTATTACGTGTAGATTGATTGTAGTTTTGCTATTCATTGTATTTATATCTATTTTGGGTGAATCAACACTTTCCCCAATGGTTGAAAGGTGCAGTATGCATGAAAATGATCCTTTTTTTTTATGTAATTTTCATATCTTTAGTGACAATGGATCATATTTGTACTTTGTCCTTTTTTACAGACTAATTGGATATTTTTCTGTTCTGTTCTGGTCTTAATTCTTTGGGGATATTTTTATGTAGTTTTTGTAATCAGGACTGGTTATACCTTTATTAGGTTCAGTGATTTTGTTGGAAAACTTACGTTTTCATGTGGAGGAAGAGGGCAAAGGTGTCAGTAGTGAAGGAAAGAAGGTAGATCAATGTACTACTATTGAAAATGAGTCTGACTGAAATTATGTTATCTCTGTATTAATATTTATGATGTAAGATTTTTTATTTGAATTCTTTATGTTATTATGGTACAACATTAATGATGAAAATGGTTAGATGACCAACTGTACCAATAGTGAATAGCATAGAGACTACATGATCATGATGACAATGATATTATATGTGCTCTTTCAAAATAAGTGCATATTAGGGTTTCATCAGTGTTTCCAAACACAAGAATGCTAATGAAAGCACAATGCCACAGGCCTCAGACTTTTATTGTTTTCCAATGTTTGGAAACTCTGATGAAACCCAATGCACAATTTTTTGAAATAGCTTCTCATTCAATGCCTCAAGAAAATTATAAAAGAAAATGGAAATATTCACTAATCATAGTTTTTCACATGTTTTCAGCAAGATTGTTGTTAAAGAAATAAGTTAACTAGTTAACTCAAGGGTTTGATATTATATGAAGCTCATGGATAGCACATCATTCCAGTGTTTCACCAGAGTTTCAAACCACATGCATGTGATGAAATAGTCCATTTTACAGTTGTGTGCTTGCTTGCCAAGCCTTTGAACAGGAGTGAGGCTAGAGATGACCTTGTTATGATACAAACCTTGCTGCCTTTCAAATGTAAATCACTTTGTTATCATGCTAACTAGATACAGGTCTCTATCACAACAAGGTCATCTTTAGCCGCACTCTGAATCAAAGGCTTGGCAACTAAGCACACAACTGTAAAATGGCCTATTGGTGTGTTTTGGTTGAATGATCACATCATGAATAATTAATGAGTTTGAAAATACATTATGATAACTATAGTGCAACTAATTTATTCACACAGAAAGTGGCTGTTAGTGAAACACATGCCAAAGCAAACTGATTTGAAAAATTGATTTTATATATACTAAGTAGTTTCAGTATCTTTGGCCACAATGTCAGGTTAAAGCAAGCCCAGAGTCAGTAAAAGAATTTCGTGAATCCTTAGCAAAACTTGGAGACATTTACATTAATGATGCTTTTGGCACAGCTCACAGAGCTCACAGGTAATTTGTGCCGTATTGTGTTTTCTTTGAAATCCATCTTGTCATGTTATGACAACCATAATTCTTCAATTCAGGAAGACTATAAAATAATTATAATATTATGAAAGAAAATATTTATCCATGCAAAACATTTCTGCCTTTGATGTGAAATTGTTTGAGATAACAGCCATGTGAACCCTTTCACTGCCATGAGTGACCAAGACAGGATTTCTCTTTACAATATCAATATTAATATCAATTCAATTAATGTTAAGAGAGATGAGATTAAAAAACATCAATTTGGGGATTATTAATGAATCCAAAACCAAATTCTCAGAACTAAGGTGATCATAAGAATCCTAAGGCAGACAGTAATGACAGTTACCTGTAATAACAAGATTTTGGGAGCCCAAAGGGTTGAAGAGATTATTGAGTCTTTTGATCCTCGATATAACAGAGTTTAATCTAAATTCTTTAATTTTATCAACAGTTCCATGGTGGGGGTTGATCACACTGTGAAGGCTGCAGGATTTCTGATGGAAAAAGAGTTATTCTACTTCTCTAAAGCTTTGAAAAAACCTGATAGACCATTCCTGGCCATATTAGGAGGGTGGGTACTAATGATTATAATTGAAGATAAAGAAAAAAAACTGAAAAAACCTAATGAAGTAAGCACAATTTTTCATGTGCTTAATGCACTCTTGGTGTGTAAAGTGCTTCATCATGGGTTTCCTCTGATTTGTTGGCACATTTCTGGGGAAACACTCAAACAAAACCAGGCACCAAACAGTAGTATGTAGAAGACATGCTTTGATGATGTGCTTCCTTCATGAGATACAAAAAGAAAATAATATCAGGTTCCTGTGCTCCTTGAAAGTCCTTGAAAGTCCTTAAATTTAATTTTTGTTTTCAAGGACTTGAAAACCCTTGAATTTAGACTCAGGTCCTTAAATAAGTGCAGATGAATCAAAGTTGAAGTTTTCTTTTGTTCTCAGTTTTGAAACTGTAAGTTTCTAGCACAAATCACAAAAACAAGTTTTGCTTTCAAATCCTACGTCCAATTATGATGTTTGACACATTTCTTATATAATATAATTTTTTGTACCTGATTGGTACATTGAAAATAACCTTGGTTACTTAGCAGGGGATCACTCTGATGTGTATGTCTGAAGTCATGCTTATTGGACATTTTGGCGGGTCCTGCACGCAATGTTTTTTATTTCTGTTAGCTCCTTTTTAATGCTAATGGTCCTTGAATTTGAGAGCCAAGGTCTTTGAAAATGACCTAAAGAGTCCTTGAAAGTCCTTGAATTGAGTTCCTGAAAAAGTGCAAGAACCCTGTAATATGGTCTCTTGACATCACAAACATCACAACATAAGTTAGGCTTGTTATAGTAGAGGATGAATTGAATTTGCAGGATACAACGCAGTGCTCAGTTTTAATGGTCAAAAACATTATTTCCTCAACATCCACAAGCAATTCAAAGCTAATGAAGCCTTTCAGTACAAGAAGAGAAGCTCCCAGGGTTCTCATAGTCAACAGAAAACATAAAAAATTCCAGTTGCAATTAAATATTTAAGCTATCCAAAGGATCTAAATAAAAACATCCTCAAATATGTCAATTGAAAAAAGGAAGCACTTCTGAGTAAACAAAAGGTGCAAGTTATGTAACATTGATTTTGCTTTTTCTCATTTGATGTTACCTACCACTGCCAGGTTCCAATTGTCACCAAAGGCAAATAGCAACTTATCAATAAGGCCAGCCTTGGGTTTAAGTACCACTCATTACCGCATAGCAGTAAACAATATCTCCTAAAGGGTGGACTTGTCAAGTTATCTCAGAAAATGAAGGTCGCTTACTGTAATTACTGTCAGTGGTTGTTTACTTTTAACAGCAGGATTAGTATCAGACCTTTGAATTTATTTAATACATCCTAATGAACAGAGAGCCGGTGAACCAGACACAAATTAAGTGATTAAGTGGTGTTCCTGGTCTCAAC